GTAGAAGTAGAAGTCTTTTGTTTTTAATGCAGAACAAAGCTTTTTTTAAAAAGAAGCCAATCTGTCATCTTGTGCTATTTGCTGATCTCTTTCTCCCTCTATATCAAGCCTTTCACTGTTTTTTATAAAGCCTAGGAAGGATTAGCTTTCTGGAGGTTTTCAGTTCCAACTCCTCTAATTGCATGAATTCAAGGCTTTGTTTTTTATATTTGTCAACAAACACAGGAAACCTAACACAACATTGATTCACAGATTCGATGCCCTGTTCACAAATTCTGGTCAGTGGAAACCGTCTTTACTTTTCTGTACATTGCTATGTGTTTAAAAGAATGTCTGTTGTTTTTTAGATATTCATAGGTGTGGCACCTGTTTTCAGATTCTCTAATTTACTATAATGCAGGAAATAATATTTTAATATTTTTAAAGCTCATTTTTACTTATGAAATTAAAAGTTAATAAAAGCAGTAAATTTGTATCAGAGAAACAGAAACAGTACTTCTCTATATGTGCTTTATTGAAGATGTGGCTTTTGACTCAATTCTCAAAGACAGGAAGGAGCTGAATACCAGCAGGAGGGAGGTAAGAGCTGGGTCTCACTTATACTAGGGGGTTCTGTGCTTGTGACTCATCACCATCATCTAACTTTATGGTGAGATTCTTTATTAAATGTTAACCACAAGATTATTAAACCATTGTCTCCCCACAATGAGGAGACAGGGAACATAAGCAGCAGAAGAACGTTGTATAGAACAGTGGGGATAATTTTCAATTGTCCCCCAGGAGACATTTGACAATATCTAGAGACATTTCTGGCTGTCACAACTTAGTGGGTACTACATGTACCTCATAAGTCAAGGTCAGGGATACTGCTCAGCATCCTACAATGTTGCAAACAGCTCCCACAACAAAGAATTTTCCAGCCACTCTATTCTAGTCTGGGCAATAGAGCGAGATGCTGACAAAAAAAGAAAAGAAAAGAAAACAAGAAAGAAAGAAAAGAAAAGAAGTAAGTAAACAACAACAAAAAAACTCTTAGTGAAAGCAGAAAGAAAAAAAACTTTTAGTGTCTGACAAGTCGATTATACTTTCACAAGCTCATTATTAAGTAAATGTAATATCTGAGACCACAGTAAGAAAGCAATTAAAATAATTTTAGTTTCATAGTTTTTGAATATGTCACTTCAAAAATAATGTCAGTCTTTTTTAAATGGGTATAACTGTTTTAATAATACTGTTGAAAGAAATGAGTAATTGGGCATTTAGAAAGGCTGCAAAACATAATAGTTAAGAATGCAGCCTCAGCACCATGCTGCCTGGGTTCAAAACCAAAAACTCCAACTTAGGACCTGTGATCCTGTTCTACTCATTTCATCTCTTTATACCTCTCTTTCCTCATCTGCAAATTCCAAATACCAATAGTAGCCACTTCATAGGGTTATTATGAGAATTAACTAAGTTATATTTAGAAATACATACATGGCACATAGTCAACATCATGTGTTTAAGTAAATAATTAACAACATTTAAAAATATTAAATAAGTAAACAACCAGGCTTTTATGAATCAGTGATCATATTTTTCATGCCCTCAGGCACAGGAACCCGTATGTTTTCCAGCCTTGAGAATCTTTGACTAAGTACGTCAAATGCTTGGCCAATGTTGTCATTCTGGCCCAAAATGTACAACTAATGTATTATACTTGAATCTCTGTAAAAGAAATATTTTATCCTAGCAGAGAAACAAACTTCTACAATGGCTGGAGAGAAAGAGAAAATAATAAGTAACAATATAGAAATATAAGCATTGTTTACTGACAAATATGAGCAATGATAAAATCAGTTGTGAGAGCCGGGCTCAGTGGCTCAGCCTATAATCTCACATCTTGGGAGGCCGAGATGAGTGGATTTCCTGAGCCCGCGGTTCGAGACCCACCTGGGCAACTTGGCAAGACCTCATCTCTACAATAAATAAAAAAATCAGCCGGGCATGATAGCGCGTGCCTGTAATCCCGGCTACTTGGAAGGCTGAGGCAGAAGGATCGCCAGAGCCCAGCAGGTCGAGGCTGCGGTGGCCGGGAGCGGCCACTGCACTCCCAGTCTGGGCGACAGAGTGAGACTCCAACTCAAAAAAAAATCAGTTGTGACACATGTCAAACAATGTTGTGACAATATAAAAACACCCTATTCACAAAGTAAATTTAAAACCTTAATGACAGCAGTAAGAAGAAAGCTTATGGTCCCTAATGTGAAAATTGATTGTATGAAGTTATCTTGTTATACCCAACTCTTTTAGAATCAAGAGACCATGGAAAAAAAGAAAAACAACACTCAGGGCACAAAGTGCCTGCCCAGGGATTAGATTACAAACAGCTGCTGATATGACCTGCTAGCACCTTAAGACCAGTTTTACCTAGTAGTGGCTGAAACAAACTGATGTAACTCTAAGGCTAATTCACCTACCACTATTACTCACCAATCAGAGCTTGCCAGCTCCCAAAAACCCAGTGCCAATGAGTTTTCTTTCAAACAACATGTAACATTTCTTTCTAATACAACCCCTAACCTTCTCTTTGCTCTTCAGACATACCAAGGACTGCCCTGCTCTATGTGCATGCCTTAAATTGCAATTCTGTTTTGTCAAATACAATGTTTTTGCTTAGAGATTCGTCTCTATATATGTATTTGACTTTGACACTAATCATTGTGAACACATCTTCAAATCAGACTCTTTTTGGTATCAGACTGGGAAGGCAACTAGAGCCAACAACCACCTACATGAAAATGTAACCATCTGGTTCACAGCTCAGAAATCCAATGTTTCCAAATTAATGTCAAATCTTTTCTTTTGTCAAAAACAAATCCAAATTTAAATGAAGACATTATTTTTAAAACGGCTACCGCAAGAGGGAAAAAGCTTAGGATCTACAAGCATCCCCAAAATCAAACGCAAAAAGGATTGTCTTATAAAGGGAGGGATAAGCAGACTAGCGGGCATTTTTGAGGCAAACTGGGCAAATGAGTGAATAGACTCAGATAGCACGATCTGGCTATATCCCAAGCCAATCTGGCTATATCCCAAGCCAATCTGGCTATATCCCAAGCCAATCCTTGGGATGTTCTGCATCTTAATACTTGCTCAGACTTAGGGCAAGCAAAGGTCAGGGGTCTGTGAGGAAATGAAAAGCCAGACTAAAGTTTGATAAAGCCAAGGTAGAGATAAGTAATGGATAATTGTGAACACTTGGTCTCTTTATAACAGTAGAAAAACAGGTTTTAATAGAACTATTAGAATAAAAGAGTAGTTAAGAATTAAACCCTCCAAACAGGTTAAATAAGTAAATAACCAGTCTGCAATCAATTAAAAAGTCTATTTCTTGCTCTTGCCCTGAGCACTGACCCTTTGTTTCCAAGACCCAGCTGAACTGGGTGAGGAAAGGGTGTCCTGCTGCCAACATTGCCAGGGTAGCTAAAGAATTTGCAAGCTTATGTTTTCACATGAGTCTCTCTTAAAGAAACATGTCATCCTAACAGAGGCAAACAAGCAAAAAGTAAGAGAACAAGTAAAAACATAGAAATGGTGCAATTAGCTGGGCTCGGTGGCTCAGCCTGTAATCCCACGCCTTTGGGAGGCTGAGGTGAGTGGATTGCCTGAGACCGCGGGTTCGAGACCCGCCTGGGCAGCGAGACCTCATCTCTACAATAAATCAAAAATCAGCCGGGCATGGTAGCGCGTCTGTAATTCCAGCTACTCGGAAGGCTGAGGTGGAATGATCACCGGAGCCCAGCAGGTCGAGGCTGTGGTGGCCGGGAGCGGCCACTGCACTCCAGTCTGGGCAACAGAGTGAGACTCCAACTCAAAAAAAAAAAAAAGAAATGGTGCAATTATCTTTTACAAGAATGAACTCCATAAATTACAATAAGGACATTAGGGAACAAATAAAGTCATAAAAATCCTCCGAAAAGCTCAGTGCAATCATTCTACTGGTATCAGACTGGGAAACCCACAGGTGTGAACACACACACACCTTCTATTAAACAGCAGTAGAGAGACAGTTCATAAGACTAGAGGACAGTTAAAAACTGGCATATATTTGGGAAAAAACTAGTTATTGATATAATAAACAGGTTTATAATATTTTAAATTCTAATTATATAATGTAACTGTTGTTACTAAAGTAGATTAACAAGGTTTAAGATTTTTTTTTTTTTTTTTTTTTGAGTTGGAGTCTCACTCGGTCGCCTAGACGGGAGTGCAGTGGCCGCTCCCGGCCACCGCAGCCTCGACCTGCTGGGCTCTGGCAATCCTTCCGCCTCAGCCTTCCAAGTAGCCGGAATTACAGGCATGCGCTACCATGCCCGGCTGATTTTTTCATTTATTGTAGAGATGAGGTCTCGCTGCCCAGGCAGGTCTCGAACCCGTGGGCTCAGACAATCCACTCACCTCAGCCTCTCAGATTACATTTGAAACACTAGGAAATAAAACTTTATAATTAAAAAAAATTAAAAATTTTAAAACTGTGAAAGAAAACAGCAGAGGAAGCAGAACTTAGTATAATTCTGGAATTTTTGGTTGTTTTTCCATAGCATAGTCATTCACTCATTTGATATCATCTTTAGTTTCTCTGGCTAAAGGTTTTCCAGTAGATACAGGAATTCTCCTCTCACTGTAGAGTGATGTTAATGGACGTACCAGCAGAAATTAATGCAAACATAAGAATATCTGCAAGTCAAAATGAATCCTCCCTTTTCTCAGGAAGTCCTCTTAGCTCGAGCATGTCTGGAATTGTTTCTTCATCCCCACATGCAGAGCGCAATGTCCTCATCACATTAGACCCCTGACATACTGTATTTTAATTTTATAAGGTACTGTTATTATGTTTTCTCCCACCAGACCATGAACAGAGATTACCACTTCATGAAGCAAAAAGCAGTGACTTAGTTTTTAAAAAATGTTTAAAACTTTATTTTGGCATTGTATTATTTGAAACATAATACTTTTACCAGTCAGTGATATGTTATGACTCTCCAAGGAAAGATTTGAGTACTTTGCCATCATTTCTTTTCGGACAGGTAGACTTGTAAAAGGTGAATCTGTAAGAGAAAGAACATGAGATTACACATTCTTACCAAGACTAAATGATGGTCTAAAAACCATTTACTATTAATGAAAAGCAGTGTTTTCAAAAAGTTCTAAATTTTATATGCTCCAAAGATACTCAAAATATATTGGGCTATTAAATGTGACAAAATTTTTGATTTTATTCTTCATTCTTTTTTTAACTAAAAATTTCCACTGACTTATATGAGATGGCATTTTTCATAAAACCTTCCTTTTTTTTTTTTTTTTTTTTGAGTTGGAGTTTCACTCTGTCGCCCAGAATGGAGTGCAGTGGCTGCTCCCAGCCACTGCAGCCTCGACCTGCTGGGCTCCGACGATCCTTCTGCCTCAGCCTTC